ACACACTCCTCACTTCCAAGGAAGCTAATCGTCAGTGGCCACGACCATGTTCCCAACATTGATCACTCGGCAGGTAAACCGACGACCCAACGGGAATCGAGAACTTAAGTCATGGTAGCAACCTAGAAACAACGTGCTTGAACCCTCGAAAGGAAATAGAACTACCGCGCAATTATTGATGTCAAAGGAGGCTCAGGCGAGGAAAGAAAGGTGCCCAGACCCAACGAGACATGTAGGTCTGCTAGGTGGACTTCCCGCCATTAGCGGTAGTGTAACTCTTGCGATCATCTCCAACCGCACATATTTTGATAGTGGCTATGAGGATCTTGTTGGCTTAGAAGCCTGTCTTATTTGGACGGGGGTCAGTATGATTCGTCACGCTACAACGTACAAAGCGCGCTATTAAGACGGCGGACGCGTCAACCGCAAGGCAATATACAAAAGAGCCTAAGAGAGATAATGAAAGTACATGTCACTTGACTATAAGAAAGGCGCTTCAGAAAAGTTGAATGATTGCTCCAGGGAATACATGAGTAAGGAATTATGTGGCCAGCGCCGTCAAACGGTCAGACACCGGGGAAGGGTCCTGACATTACTGACACTCGAGTCTCGCACATTTAGACTTGGTTGACCTTTTAATTCTCAATGCCCGCCTAATCATCACATCAAAGACAACTTGAGTCGGTTTCGCCATGACGAAGTTCCTGCCCAGTGTAGACGCTCGCGAACGGAGATTACTCGCGAAGTCAAGTTGATAGCTGCTCTAGGCATATGCGATGCCCATCTCGTCGCCGCACCAAATCGTGTTTCCTTTCAATTCAATGTATTTGTCTGCCAGATATGATGTCAGAAATTTGCCACTGTGCCAGAAAGCTTTTGTCAATCCGAAACTCACTAAGGTCAAGGGTGCTTCTCGACAATATTTTATTGACTCCATCGCTGCAGTAACACGTCATCTCGACCTTTTTCTTGTTGGCTTTGCTAATTGAACATTTTTGGCATGACTGATCAAAACCGCCCCTGGATGGTAGATTGAAGTTGTCAGCGGAACGTTCGAAGGGGAGACTGCGTGCATTCTAACCGTCTTCTCCATTGCATGTTTCCATGGTCGTTGACGAGGCATAAGTTGAGATTTAGCTCGTTCTTGTACGGCTTGTCATCCAAGGCGGTGCACTCGGCCCAAAGTTTGAAGTAGGTCAAGGTTCGACATTCGTCCTTGTCACATTTTCTATAATTCACTCCCTCGAGACGGATGTCCTCGCACTTTTTCATGAAGCCACCTCCAGATTCAGCAACGGAGGCAGTTGCAAATAAGGCAATAGTTGCAGTGATGATGCTGGCCGTGAGCTTCATTTTCGCCGCTAGTGAAGGGCGATTGCGAATGAGATTGCGTTGTAGGGTAATGTAAATGGAAGCAGGGCAACATTCGAATACTTTTACGATCGTGTATCTCATATAGCTTGGGCTTGGTTCGATAGAAGAGTGCGAGGCAACGAGAGGAGGAAGAAGTTTAAATAGGGGGCACTGAGGTACTGAGCATTTTCAAGGCCAGTAAGGAGGCCGCAGTCATTTGAATGTATGAATGGCAAGGTGAGATAGGTTCCTATTTGATGATTTCTTCCATTTTTTCTTGTTTCAAGACCAGCATTCAGTGGGCGGTGAACGTTGACGGTATCTCAAAGAAGACTGCTCAGATGTCAAAGGGGGATGTGGTGAAGCTCGTGATATCTTCTCCTCTAATTGAAACCTGGGAAAGTGTGAGATGGGGGCGTAGCAAACATGGAGGTAGAAAGAAGCAATGATTACTATACTGATCTCTAATCTATATGGTGTCTGGCCTTCTAAGTAGGTGATCGAGGTTCTGACAGGCTCAATATTGTCTCAAAGGTGGTCGTTCTGGGTTCGTGGCAAACATATGGACAAGTGCTATGGACACTATCTTTCTCAGCAAGGTTTGTTGTTTTGGTAAGGAGCAAGGTAGAAAATCACCAGGGCTTACTTTCATGACCACCAAAGAGGGCTCGTTGGAGCGGGTTTCGGCGTTTTCAAGCTTGGCCATGAACATCGCCTTTGTTCCGCGAAGCCTCATGAAGGCCAAGAGCTCGCGGTGTTCTCTCTCCAAAGAACCAACCACTCACTCCAGCATGACCGCCTCATCGAATAATATCGACGGGCGCGTAAGGAACAAATTTCAAATACTCGCGTATGAGTCTTCTAACTAAGATGGTTCGATATACGGCACTCGAACTGACCCTACCGAGGCGTATCACCACTCAACTCGAGATACTCGCGTAAGTATTCGTGTTTATACCAAACCCTTCAAGATTTCTTGCGCCATACCTTCTTCTTTCTCTCATTGATCACATGATCCGATTGCTCCTTCTTCCCTGATAGGGGAAAAAAATGAGGCTCGTGACCACCGGGGGATTTCTTTCTCCTCGGCAACCACATTTTGCAGCCTTCAGCTACCAACCTCACCTTCTCCCATCCAACCCTACCACCATTTCCACTTCTCCTCTGCACACAAACTCAAATCCTTTCCTTTCCAATATTTCTTTTCTCTTTGATTCCTGCTTTAACGACCAACGCAGCCCATTCTCATCACATTCTCTTCTCGCAATCAAAGCACCACCAGCCCGGTAGCCCGGCAGCCTCTTCGCTCTCAACCAGAGCTTTCCTGGGCAAATCGCCGCATCGAAATCTCGCAATGCTCGAAATTCTACGCGTCTTCCCCCGGGTACTCCTGCCTTTACACCTACGAACCTCGTCAAGCGAGGCAAGCCTGCCGGGATGCGTCACTCGCGTCGCCTTCCGAATATTTACTTCACCAACAACTCATCGCCACGGCATCTTCAACTCTCCTCGATCATCGACAGCTTCAAGCGATCCTCCCAATATCAGCAGCTCAGGTAAGTGCGAAGACGTCCCAAAATCCACACGACCTGGAAACCGTCGTCCGCCAACAGATTCTCGAGGGCTGCCTCCGTCTCTGCGTTCACTGGCCAATATCGGTCCAGCGTTTTCTTTTCCCAAAGGCCCATACTTACTCTTCCCGTCATCAAAATTAGAGCCCAAGAAATCGGTCGCTCTTGCTGCTTGAAAACTCTGTCTAGAAGGCGGTGTGAAGCCTGCCAATTTTCTCTCCTTGACCTCACCTTCCCACCAGGCAAGTACTCACCTCTTTGATTTTTCTTCACAAAGCCACCTCTTCTTCGTCCCTACACTCTTCGTCTCTTCACACTTCGTCTTTGCTCTCCTCGTCCTTTCACACTTCGTCTTTTCATACTTTACCTCTTCACACCTCGTCTTTTTATACTTCCTCTTTCCATACTTCGTCTTTGCTCTCCTCGTCTCTTCGCAATTCGCCTCTTCACACCTCGTCTCTTCACCCCTCGTCTTTTCATACTTCGTCTTTTCATGCTTCGTCTTTTCATACTTCGTCGTTTCTCTTGCTCATCGCTTTTCCCCCTTCGCCTTTCGTCCAATTCATGCTTCATCGCTTTCGAGACACCTGTTCATCAAGTCTCTTTACTCATCGCTTTTCACCCCAGTGACCAAAGCTTCACATGCTCAATTTCACTAGTCACACTATAAAGGTAGTTTATCTGCTGCTCTGGCATGAATCCACACCTCTCTTCCGCACACCATTCTGGCTCTACTCTGCGATTTCATATTCTTGCAAGAATTCTCGACTAACTCATCGTGTTCCAGCTACCGAAATCGGATGACGCCCACCGTCTGAAGAGATACGACGAGAGATGCGACGATGCCTTCGTCGCATCTTCAGACGTATCGTCGCATCTCTAGGATTATCTCAGTCCCGTCCAAATGCGACTTCCGACGGACATCGCCATCTCGACATGTCGTCTGACCACTACCCAGGTCTGCGATGCCATCGAGGTGTCAACAGCTCTTTCGAAATTGCAGCCTCCAAGGGCCAGCTCGAATCATGGCCAACAAGAAAGGCTTGGATTGCGTTTGTTCGAAATTAGGTATGTCAACCACAATTTCAAGTAGAACATCACATGTTCGTCAATGGGCTGGCTGTCTGGTCTCTGTCGGATTATTTCTCTTATTGATGTCATGAATACTTACTAACAAAAGCCTTTTCCAGGCATCTCAACAGAGCATGGAGACAATGGAGCCCCTGCCATCTCCATTGGTTTGCCTTCTCAAGGCATAGCCTATTTCAAGCTAGAAGAGGCCAAGTTGAAACCAACTGCTCGAATAAGCCTACGTTTCCACCAACGGCTCCAGCTCTGAGCAGCCTCCTGGCGTTCCTTCGCCAGCACAGCATCCCAGGCATGCCTGAAGCCATCAAGAGACCGCCGTGGCATCAACGAGGTCGGGGCCTACTGCCCTGGCCTCGCATTTGGGGTGACGTGGGAGACCACGATCACTCTGCGCGCATCACCGTCTCTCATACCGGCGTTGGAGTCTCCGTGTCTGCCAAAGAACCCCGGCCAGCTTTCCGCGGTGTGGTACGGTGGACACGGCGACTCGAACGCCAGGATCTCCTACATGAGAGGGCCGAATGGCGAAACGGAACCTGCCATTTCCATCATCATGGTCGACAAGTATGGCGAGATCGAGATTGACCGCGGCGACGACATTGTGTGCTGCGGAACCAATTCACTGGATAATACATCGAAGAACACTCCCGCCGACGGCGGGCGGCCCGTTCGGGGCAACGCAGCCCTATTCAAGCCCCCAGAAAAGAAGACCAGACTTGTTCGAATGTGCTCCAAGAACCCTGAGCGGGTAATTCGAAATTCCGTTCGAAGGACATCCTGAACAGGGGTTGACTTTCCCTTCCGGGCGTCGATGGCATTAATCATGGCCCAGCGCCTTCCATCATCATGGCGGACAAATACAGCGAGATCGACGTCGACCGAGGTGACGATATCATATATGGTCAACGTCAATAACGCTGTATTTGTCCGCCATGATGATTTTGGGTTCGGCCGGTCCTGGCTTGCTCGAATACCACCACCGTCAACATGCGCGCTTCCATTGTTCGAAGAGCTATGCTTAGCCCAGCTTCCGAGCGAGGCTTTTGGCCCAAGATACGCCATCAAGAGGAGGCTGGAGGCCGTCATGACGTTTCCGCCGAAGGGACGCTACGGAAAGCAATATCGCTTCTTCACTTCGCCCGTAAGGGATATTTCAGCTCACTTTCTTTTCTCAAACGCCTCAACACTGAAAATCCCATCCGCCCGCGCTCCAATTAGTGCTCGAATGCGGAAATGTTTTTTGCTCGAATGCTTGACAGCAGCATCGGTCCGACAACAACGCTCCTGACAGCAACATGAACGCCCAGGGTTACGGCATTCAGACGATTTGCAGAACGGCAACGACCAGGTTGGCGATGATTATCTTGAAGATCCTCTCGCTGACCTTGGAGATCCTGGCTTATTTGCTTCCACGGGCCCCGAAGAGAACATCGACTTCCACACGAGTTTCGAGGGGATGCTTCTGATTAGCCAGGGCTTAGGCCCGATGGCACTTCCGGAAATCGGACAGGCTGACAACTTCAGCAATGATTCTGGTTTTCAAGGCGGAATTACAAACGCTGCTTCTCCTCTCACTCATGGACCCGCCACTGGCGACACCGCCATGGAGGTATTTTACACTGTCAAGGGCAGCAGCAGCAGTCCAACAGAAACGCTCCTGGCAGTCACGCCCCTGGACAAGACATGGCGAACATGAGAGAGATCACGAACAACTACGTTCTCGCGGCTGACAATGAGGACATTTCTCGCACACGCCCAAGTCACTGACACTCTTACAACATTGTCCATCACGCTCAACAAGCCCACCCCGGGCCTATTACCGCTCGCGGTTATTTCGAATCAACGACATCGAAATCAATCCCTGGATACAATGCTAGCTGCGACTAGCCCCCGCGTCTTTCGCAAGGCGATTCTTGGGGAGTGTTTGGGTTCTCACAGAACCCCTTGGTTCAATAATCCTGCTCGAAAGCCTGCTTCAAGGCAATTTTTCAACTTTGCTTCCAACAACCCCCGCAGGCGGGGGGTATTTCACGGCGCTGGACGCTTTGTTTTTTTCCGACTTCGAATGCTGGCGGTATCACTGCTCGAATAAGTCGAATAGGAGTGCTGGAAGCCTCCAACTGCCACTGGGGGAGCATCCCGGATTGTGTCGGGCGTTCGCATGGTCGCCCAGAAGGGGATGCTTCTTCGGTATACTCGTCCATGCATTGGGGAGGGGCAAGGAATTCCCGAGGGCATCACGGGTGCTGTGTGGGAGGGATATGCTCGAAAAGATTGCTCGAATGGAAGACGAGCGCTGGAACGTTTCTTATCAGGCCTCAAGATTAAGCACATCAGGATCCTCCCGATCGACTCTTGATCCTTTAGGAGTGTTCAGGGCACTCCCGAGGGCGTCAAGGGTGCCGTCTGGGAGACCTGATAATTTCGACTTCGAAACATTGCTCGAAAAATTGTTCGAATGAATGGGGGGCGCCGGACACCTCTCGCGAGGTTTGAAGATTGGGCATCTTCAAGACCTTCTGTTCCTTCTGTGCAATCATCTCGCACAGAAGGAGATGTTGCCCCAGTCGACTGAGCGCATCGTTGAGGTCCAAGGCACCCCCGAGGGCATCAAGGGAGCCATTTGGGAGATTTGCAAGTGTCTCGTAGACGATTGGCAGAGAGGCACTGGTACAGTCCCCTACAACTTTGTCATTCGCACCCAGTCTGGTACAACAAACATGGCGACGGATTCTTACTTCTCCGACCAACGAATTCGCCGAAGCATGTGACCCAGGCAAGAGGATTCCAAGAAGCGCATCAAGATCACTCACAGAGAGTCTGCTGTTAAAGGAGGATATGGGTCGGAATGGTCTTTTGCTGAAGTCAGGCAATCATCATTCTTTGCGTCTATGTTCGAAACCATGTTTCAATGGGAGGAGCCTGTCCCAGGATGATGTCGATTATTATTTCACCACAAGTCGTCAGTCTCATCATCGACATCATCCTCGGAATACTTGAAGTCCTTTTCGTCGCTTGGACTCTGGTGGCTATCGATCAGGCCGAGGGCCGCCGCAATCCTGATGACAAGCCCGCAATGAAGTTGCGGGGGTGAGGGTGTTAACATGGACGTGGGGAGTGCTCGAATAATGGAAGATACGGTGTTGAGGGTATTGTTATGGGTGATGGTGAAGTTTCGAAGGAAAGGAGATACGGAGGCGAGGGTATCGATATGGATTTGGGAGGTGACCGAAAAATAGCAAGTACGAGGGTGAGGGCGAGGGTATCAAGGAGGCGAGGGGAAGTACTCGAGACACCAGCTAGCGTCTGAGGCAAAGCGCTCTCTCATGGCCGGTGAGCCTACTATCCAATCTTTCGAACATCAAAGAGCAGAAGATTTGGACTGCATAGCTCGGAGGAAACAGGAGTAAGCCGTGGTGGAGAGGACGATAAGAGACATTTTCTCGAGACTACAGCGCGTACCAAAAAGAATGGACAAAACACTTTTCTCAATCATCAAGTTCTCAAAGTAATGCACATTCGTGAGAAATACCCTGGCGAGGGAAATGCACACATTCAAGCCACGGACAAGATGGCCTCACTCTGTGTGTTTGCAACTCTTCATCCATCAAAAAGGTGCTTTAGGTATATTCATGCATCGTGACACTGCCTCACCGGGAATCATTCAAACTTAGGTGAACGTAGTCTACCTCACATCGTAGTTTCCAACGACTTGACTTTCCATTCCCTATTTTTATCTCTGCACCAGTCTAGAAAGACAAGAACATCGCCGCCACCAGCGCAGCAAATCCAAGACCAAGCGAAGGCGCAAAGCCACTCGCAACATCTGGCTTGGCAGTCGCGGTGGCGGTGCCAGTGACAATGGTACCAGGAGTCGTCGATGTCGGTGTAGCATCGGTTTGCTGCAGGATATAGATCTCGCCCGTGGAGTCAGAGGTCATGAACAGGCGGTTCTTGGAGTCCCACGCGAGACCGACGGGGCGGAAGCACTGGTCGGGGCAGGTGCTGAGATCCTTGTTGTACATGATGTTCTTGAGCGCGTCGGTCGAGTCGCTGCTGGCGACAGGTTCGCCCTTGGAGAAGTCGACTGTGGTGAGGGCATAACCGACGGGGTTGGGGCGGTTGACTGCGCAATATTAGTATTCTGATGGACTTGTGACCGGGTTGGTGGGAGAGACTTACAGCTGCCGCGGAAAGACATGAAGGCCTTTGAACCGTCGTTGTTGAACTTGAGGAATACGGGGGATGAGTGGGATTGGAAGGTCAGGCGGGGAGCGATGTAGTCGTTGTGGCAGCGGGTATCGTTCATAGTCGAGTTCTGCTCCATCGAGAACTGGTCGCCGACATTGAGAGAGCTGTTGAGCGGGATGCTAGTATCCCAGACGGCAAAACATCGCGGGTAACCGTAGTTGCCGGCGTCGGTATCGTTCGCAATAGTACCGAGCAAGTTAAGCTCCTCGCCGGGGTTGTTGGCATGGATATCGACGCCGTTGCGCGTGATGTCATCAATGGAGTTATCCATCGCCCAAACGTTACCCGTAGCCGGGTCCTCAGCAACAGCGACGGCATTGCGAATACCCCAGCCAAGAAGCTTGCCATCCGTGTTGAAGTCGAAGGGATTGTTGCCGGACTTGCTCAGGTCAAAGGCCTTGACCTGGGCGTGGCCGCTGGTGGCATCGAGGGCATCAATGTCAAAGTTCTCGTCGACGCCGCGGGACACGACGAGCCAGTTGCTCGAGGCCTTGGACATGACCAGGGTGCGCGTGGTCTGGTCGTTGTTGGCCATGTTGTCAATGACGACGGCGGGTTCGGCGTTGACGGTGCCGGCCTTTGCGTCGTAGGCCCAGGCGAGCACTTGGGATACGGAAGAGGCGTACAGGGTCTTGCCATCTTCTGAAAAGGCCATGCCGTGTGTGAGCTGGATGATGACATGTTAGCACTATTACCACCTCTGGGAGTACAAGGAGGTGAAAGCGCACTCTTGTGTTGTTAACCAGAAGCTTGCTCTCGATCAACGATAGACATGTGCCGCCATTATCCTTGAATGAGACGCGATAAACACCAACAGCAGCATCCAGGACGAGCAGGGCACCCTCGCTGTCAACGTGAATGGTTCGAGGCTTCTTGAAGCCATTGGCGACGAGCTGTGCTTGCCAGCCAGCGGCGACCTGAGGAGCAGTGTAACTGGGGGTAATAATATCGGCGCATTGTTGCGCGAGCGCCGTGGTGGCGGCTGCTACCGCGAGCGCGGCGGTTGTGAATCCCTTCATGCTGGCGAGGTGGGGGGATAAGAAGTAATTCTGAAATCAAGCAATTCGCGGGCAACTACAACGCTTTCACCTTGAGAGTTGTCTTGCGTACATAAATAATATGCCCCTGATATGTTCAAGGTGAGGGGAAGCTCAGTGGCAAGGTGAAGAAATCAATTAGCGACCAAGTAGCTTCGGAGCAAATTGGAACATGTCCCATGAGATGGATAGCGAGGCATCTGTCGACTTTCAGGGTGGCAGACAAAAACTCCACTTAAAAAACGAGAGACAAAAGCTCTCTGGTTCGGGATAAGATGCCCCTCCATCATCCCCCCCTCCATCGCCTCCTTGTGCGGCGGCTCGCGAGTGGTTGACATGTACGCGAGCGGGCGATCCTCTGTGCCTCTTTGGGAGCTGCTCACCTGCTCTAGCGCAATCGGTGAACGGTACGGCGACTGGGCGGCGGGAAGGGTGGGCAAGTCAACCCATGAAAGCTCTTTGGGTCTTCGTTGGACGAGGGGGATCAGAGAGGGATGGCATGGCTGCTATGACGGTGGACGGATGGAACGACGCCTCACATGTGCGTGTCTGGCCATGTTGGGTTGCTTTTGCGACCAGCCGCTCTGCATGGTATTGCTGCTGAGGGATGCAGACGGCAGTTGAGGGTATCGCGAGCGTGAGGCATTGGAATTGGCTACGGGCTTACTGATTAGGTTCTTGAGATGCCACTGCACTGTGGCATGTAGTCAGAAGTATTACTTTCTATTGCTCTGACCATAGGATTTTGCTTGAAGGCAATACGCCGACCGAAGCGGAATGAGAAGTCTTGCAAGAACATCGTGAAGGACGAGGTCCGAATCCGGCGTCGAGGCATCGCTTCCCAGTCCCCACCAGCAACAGGTCGAAAAAGAGCTGTATTAGCGCAGCGGATTCAGTAAGGCGCGAAAAAAAGTTGTTCAAAAAGGCGCGCATTCTCTGGTAGCGTCGCGCCATGCTATCGGACGGCTCACGTTTGATGTGGGGGAATAAGCATGCAAGACAACCTTAGCTGCGTCTGTTCAGTGGGCACAGGAGCGGGATCCACGACCCGATGGTGGCCGAAGGAGGCAGGTCGACGGATTTCCGTCTGCTTGGAGCTGGATCCAGGCGGATCGTGGGTGTGGTGATTCTGGCAACGAGGGGCAACCCATGTGGTGGTGGCCAAGGATCGTCGTCGAGATGCTGCGATTCAAGACTTCATCATTATCGAGTTGAGAGGCATCGACGAACAAGAAGCATTCAGTTGCAAAGCCCAAGCTATCATCCGTTTACTTACCTTTCGCTGATACGTCTCTACCGAGTTTGACGGGATCGGGCATCACAGAGCGAAGAGAGAATGTGCGCCCACATGTCGCTCAAGGTGACGGATTCAGCTTCAAGCTAGCACCGCCAGCTTCAGCTTCACCGCTGCTAGCATGGCATGTCTGGGATGACACATGTTGGTTCCTGAACGGCGTCTTGGCTGGACTCTGGTAGCGCCCACAGATACGGGTTGTGCTGCATTTTGGATTCTCGCCAACGGGAATAGACCGAAGTCATGATCTTTCTTTGGTTGATAGAAAGAAAGGCCGCAATGCAAGCAAGAAATCCTCCGCTCCCATGGAGTCCCATTTCCGTAGGGCGAGTCCACTCTCCGGCCCTCTCCTCGGCGCATCTGTCGGGCCTCGTCCCTCTACTGTGTACAGAGCACAGATCGATCATCACATACTTTATCGTTACACTTACCACACGGCATATCGGCTCTGTTAACCATTCATGAGTCTTGGCGAAAGTACGAGAGGAGCCAAGACCTTGGTGGTGTCTGAACTCGTCCTTTGCTTTGCCCTTCCTCTCTGCCCTGAGGCCCATTGACCAACCACCTCTCTGTGCGAGCTCACGCTTCGCAATCGCAACCATCCTGCCATCCCACCACTTCGGACAAATATTTCTTACACTCCATCTTTTGAGTCTTGACACAAGCAAATCGAAGCCAAGAGCGTTGAGGCGTCTGAGCTAGACCATTCCCGTGTTACACCATGCACTGCAATCATGGTCAACTTTCAAAGACGTTGAGAGCATGCCCAGCCGACATTTCTTTCGAATTTCTATTATCCAGTAGGTAGGCAAGCTGAAGAATAGTGGATGAAACTTCGCACATATTGCTTCGCCTGCAGACCAACATCGTATCTCGTCACTCTGCGAAAAGGGGAATACGGGGTTGATCCCATTTCTCGCATCCCGAGGATGGCGATGGAGGCTACCCATACGGCAACGGCACAGATAAAAACAGTACCACCCTCCTGTCACGCAAAGAAACTGCTTGGCACCCATCAGACTTTGCTGCTGAGTGGTGGCTGCAGGGCAGGGCTTGCAAAGTTGCTGCCAACCCCGCACTAATTACTGTCTGATGGTGCCGGTAATAGGCTCATTGCCCATCCCATGGCCCATGGCCCGTATCGAGGCTGTTCCCTGTCTTCTCCGAGTCGTATCGCCCCTCTTCTCGACGAGAATCCCAAGTCCACCTCGCCTTGGCTCTCGCAGCTGTCGCTTCAGAAAGTTCAGCCCAGCCATCAAACCATCTCCTCCCTATGAAAGCGAAACGGAAGACACACCGGCCCTACCTACACTACTGTGCAGTACAGGCGTTGCAAGTGGTGTTCGTCTGCTTTACCTAAGCTAAAACAGAGCTGTCTCCAGTTTGGCCTGTCAAACGTCAAGTTTGGGACCCTTCAAGAGGAGACCAGATGAGACGGCGTTCTTGTTCAAGTCTTTGGGGGTTGCCAGTCACCACACCGTAAGTTTGTGATACGCAAATGTCAAGACGCACCGGCAAACTTAACAGAGGAACACTACGGCACTCCGGCACCGTGAATAGCGGCGTGGCATACAGATAGAGTGAGTGCCTACATGTTAATTACCAAACACACAAAACCGTGGCACGCCGTGAGACATGCGCCCAGAGCACGCCAACACTTGCTCGACAGGGGCGTTCCGGGTTCGAACCATTGATTCTGGAGCTTGCCGAGACACCAACGTGCTGAACTGATGGTCGACTCCGTCCAAGCTCCATCTTCCAAGACCACGGTGCCCATCTGTCTGCGCCCTTCACCCTATCACCAACCTCCTTGGCGTTCTCCGCCCATTATCGACTGGTTGCCACGCTGCCGTGCCATGCCCGCGATTGTCTCTTGCCAAGCATGCGTTCCTCACGCCCAGCATCCTCCTCATTGGGTGCCGGTTGACCATGAGAGCGCTGGACGGCTGGTCTCCTCGCCAAAATGGCCTTGAGGGAGCGGGACATGCGGAGCACAAGAAGAAAGGCCATTCCACCTTTGGATTTCACCCCATTCTCTTCTTCCCACTTGTTGCTAACTTGTGCTTGACTGGCCCGACTCTCGAGTCTTCTTCTTCCATTGAAGCCTTCAAGTTTCCTAGCGCCATCTTGCTGAGCTCTCCCCTTCGGATCTGCTCTACTCTTCAGCCACCCAACACACATACAAAGTGGTGCGCTACGCTAGCTCAACTGGCGCAACCAGCCCTGGACTTTGGCGACTCGGCTCGAACTCGAGAATCGCGAACGAATACGGATACATTTGCGTGCTTACTTACTGCCGCCTGCGTCCGCTACCGCTACCGCTGTTCTGCTCCCAACACCCGATGCCCCTCCATTCCATGTTCATATGACGCGTTGCGAGACCCCAAGCCGGCAAACATCCGCTTCTTCTGGGTCCTTTTTTTGCCCTTTCTTTCCTTGTGGATTCCCCTTGCTCAGCGGTGCCGCTTAATATTTGATACCCAGCAAGGTACGGCACGCTGAGCTATAGAGGACCGGATCGAAGTGGTCCATCACCAGCCCATCTCTGCTTTCTCTTACGATCCATGTCGATCTGTTGTTCCTAGAGACGCAGCTCATTGTAACCTGGTTTCTCCCGAGATATTGTTCCCTCTCTTCCATCCTGGGATTTCTCATCATATTGGAACGAATAAAGGTGGACTCGACTTAGGAATACGGGCGAGGACTCTTCTACATGCGCTTTCACCGACTGCGTCTGTGCTCCCCCGACATTTGAAGCTTCGCACAGCATCGAGGGATCCTTTGAGGCTTCGAGACCATGTTCACAAACACACAACGACTGCTGTCGGCCTTCGCGGCGACGGCCCTCCTCTTCGCAACATCATCATCAGCCGCGGCCGTCCAACCCCGGCAAGGTCCAGGCCCGGTCAACGACTGGATCTCCGTTGATTCAAATGGCAATGCCCGAACCATCTCACCATCAGTCGTCACTAGCAATGGCGCACGCACAACAATCAGCCCGCCCCCGTACTCATTAACAGGCTCCGTCTACACCGTCACGGCCACCACCGGCGGACTCACGACCAGCACAGGCGTACCGCCGCCGCCGCAAGCAAGCAATACCCAGGGATTTGGAGGAGTTTTCGCCGTGTGCAACAACAGGGTCGGTCAGGATGGTCCGTTTTGTCAACCTCGACGGGGTAGCACTCTGCACGTGGAGTCGACGTACTACAGTAAGCTTAAATTCATCCCGCCCCGTCCACGTCTGAATCGCGGGACGGCCTCTAGTTCCTCAAACCCCGATTTGCTAACGATATGCTTAAAAGTCACTTGGGATACAACATTCTTCGCAGACCCTGCTACGCCTATTGGCATCGTCGGCTTCGACGTAGATAACGGCATCACCGACAACGCACCCGCATTCTCCGTAACAAATCTCAGTGGCGGCGATGGCTGGGTTCCTTGGACCCCTCACCTTACCGACCTCGAAAGCAAGACCTCCAACAACATGACCATCATCCTCATGTACAACGACCCCGACACCGGCGAAGAGAAGAACGTCACGGGTCCCGTATTCACGTTGAGGATGGCAATGGACACCGACGCACCCAACTCGAGACCGAACCTCCTCGCCATCTTATTACCCGTCATTCTCATCTCGCTCGCCATCGCCGCCTTCATGGCATGGTTGTACATCAGGCGCCGCCGCCGTCACGCGGCCGTTGCTGCCGCGGTGGAACGCCAAAACGCGGCGCATCCCACGGGACAACCGCGGAGCATGCACGGGCAGAAGGGCAGCGCGGATATCCAGCTCGAGCCGACGAGTCCGCCGCCGGGCTCTGCGCCGGGGAGAAATGTGTTTCAGGAAGAAGTCCGTAGACAGGAGCGGGAGAGGGCGTAACGAATGAGTGATACGAAACGGGCACTGGAAACGGGTAATGACATGAATCTTGTCTAACGGAGATCCGTTGAGACTTGATGGTATAGAGAGGGGTACTTCGTTTGGTAACGACTTTCCAGCGATTTCCTCACCTCAGAATGAAGGCACAGGATCTATGATTATATATATACCATGAATGAAGAGACAGATGGCATGTTGCCATGGCTCAACTTTGGCCACTTCCAATTTCCTGGTTATAATGCGATGCTGGTTCTATCAGATGCGGTGTGTTCGGTTTGATCAGACAAACCCAGCGTGCACTTGATGACAGGTCACTAGAGCCAACCTCTTGACTGCTCCGCTACAGTCGCTTACACCGGTATAGAGAGAATGGCTCCGTTTGAAGCTACTGCCCGGGTTCAAAGAGAAACGTCAACACGTTCTAGTGCGATGTCCACTGTTGGCCGAAGGCAAATTTGGCAATAGGTATCCTTAGAGCTCCGACTTCATGGTTATCAATCTACTGCGGTGGGCTACCGGCCGCCTCGGACCCGCGGATGGCCGCGGAGAGCCGTTCACTGCGTGGGCACTATAGGGGCCCAGATGAATCTGCCATCTCCCGCAATATTTTGTTGTTTACCTCGGCTCCCGCGATTCTGATTTTCGAGGGACGATTTGACCCGTCAAGTAGGAATGACTACGGCCCAAGTGGATCGTGATCTTACGATCGGATATCAACGACAATCACAGGGCGTGTTGCAGGGCGAGCGACTGGCAGTACCTTTGAAGCAGCCTAGGCTGGTCTCGAACTTGGCCTCCAAGACTTGTTCTGCTTTTCTAGTCACACAATAAGGCAAGGCCAAGATAGGCTTCCCGCATGGACAGGTGAATAGCACTAGTAATGGGTCATCAGCAAGTTGCTAGACTTCTCATGGATTCGACATCAACCGCTTCTTACAGCATACGCTAGTTCTATGAAGACTGAGGTGCCGAGAGCAAGGCCGCAAACACTCTTTGGGTATAGTGAGTGGCATCAGCCCTCCAGGAATAGGCACGATGACTTGACGCTGTCCAGAACGAAGCCATATTCAGATCAAGATCAACTTCAGAGCTTAGCGACGAACTTCTTGCCACCATCCAAGGAACACAACCCCTCAGTCATCCGCACCAAATCCCTCCTCAAAATCTTCCCTGTGGGGTTTCTCGGGAGTTTATCAACAACCCAAACACCGCCTCTGAGCTTCTTGTACCCACTAACTTGCTCATCTACAGCCTTCTGGATTTTCCTGAGAGCTCCAATGATCTCTCCACGTTCCTTCATCTTGTTCCTATCGTCTTCCTTCAGTACGACCCATGCGGCGGGGACCTCCGTCAGCTGGCTCTCGTCCCAGAGAGCCCCGACGCCAGATTCCCTCACAAGGGGATGAGAGTTGAGAATCTGCTCGAGTTCCGTCGGGCTCACCTGAAAGCCCTTGTACTTGATCAACTCCTTTGTGCGCCCGACAATAGACAGCCGTCCCTGCTCGTCTATACGGCACACGTCTCCGGTATTGTACCACCCCTCGACTGGAAATGCTTCTCTGTTCGCGCTTGGGTTGAACGCGTAGCCCCGCGTGATATTCGGGCCTCTGAGCCATAGCTCTCCAGGGCCGCCTAGTGGTGCGTCTTCAGTCGTTCCCTCCTTTTGAAGGGCGGCCTCGATACCAGGCAAAAGTTTCCCGGTACAGCCATCAGGAACGACTTCGTCAAACCCCTGGTAAGCCACATACCCCGCCGCCTCCGTCATCCCGTACGCCTGAATCAGCCTCCACGGCGCCCGACTGAGTAGCCTCGAGAGCTGCGCCGGCTTCAGCAGTGCGCCGCCGATGTTGATAACCTGCGCCTTGGAGAAATCGTACCGCTCTGTTACATCCGAGTTTGCCAGGCCTAGTACCACGCTCGGAACGCCTTGAAACATCGTAGCTTGCGTAGAGCCCACGAGCCTGCCGAACTCCTCGATGCTATACTGTGGCATCGCGTGATGGAACATGCCGGTATACGGACCGAGGAAGAGGGGAGCTGTGGTCATGGCGATGTGAGCCCAGGGTGTAAATGCGACGATCCTGCAGGCCGAGTTGAACATTTGGCGTTTGTGGTCTAGGGCGACGAGTTGCATGACATTGGCGACGAAGTTGTAGTGCGTCAGTTCGACGCCTTTTGGTTTGCCTGTTGTTCCGGATGAAAGGTGTATTGAGGCCAGTCGATTCGAGGTGTCTGGCCAGTGTGGTATGGTGAGTTGACTTGATGCCATGAAGTCATCTGGAATGTGTCTCGCCCGCTTGCTTCGTTTCACGATAGAGAGTATTGGTGGCGATGCCCAGAGAGCACCATCCTGACGAAGCTCTCTCGCCGCCATATCCACGGCCTCCTGGATGACGGTCTCTAATATTGAACCATACGCGACGATAAAGTGAGGTCTTGAGACGGCAATGCCATGGCCAATCTCAGATGCTTTGAGAGCATGGTTGATGGGGCACACAACACCGCCTGTCCAGAGGATGGCATGAAAGACCTCGAGAAATTCGACACAATTCGGTACCACAATAACCCACCGGGCTTGATCCGGTGGATTCAGCTTTTCCGTAAGCCCCTTTGCAATCCGGCCTGCGCGATCCCTCAGCTCGCCGAGGGTGATGCTCCGGTTCGTCAGACTATCGGCGGCGATGACATGGGACTCTGGTATCGGAGTTGCGCTTGTGTGAAGCAACTCGGTAAGATTTAGTTCGCGAGAAATCTCAATACTCCTAGATGTGTATATCCTCATCGTCGTGATGGTCGGTGCATTCCCTCTTTTGAGTTTTGTTCTCAAACAGACTGTCGGATGAACGAGCTCTTGACAATGACATGAATAACCACAAGATCCCAGGATGAAAGAAACAGTCGCAGAGTCGTATTCTTGATCAGTGTCAGGAACAGCCGGCTCGAGATTACCCGACGACAACGAGGAAGAGCCTCAATATGTTTGAGCCGCTTATGCCGTTGAAATGACAACCGCGCTTACTCTTCGACCCTTCCTGGACGACTAGAGTTACCGCGCGGGATGAGTGAGCGGCTTCTACGGACCTTATCCGATGATTCCCTGCTTCGGATAATGAGGGAAAAGGAAGACGCGGAATAGCAGGGAACAGGTTGGCTGCTGAAAGGCAGATATGCTTTGCAGCGTCGCCTCAAGGCGGGATACAATGAGTAACCCTCCACAAGGTAGAGGAGGGGGGGAAGACCGAGACAATGATGTGCGGAGAAGAGAGCACTGCTGCATGAAACCTCTGAATCACCAAGGTCTTGGTCGCACTCGGGGAGCATCCGCAGGCGCAACTCTGACAAACAGAGTTCCTGCGGTGATCCTTGTGGGACGCTGTAGGTGAGAGGTCAAAACGTCGAGGCGGCAGCTCGAGCGGCGCCGTCGGCACGGTTCGGTGTTTTGAAGGGCGAGAGGGTCATACGATGGCCTCAACGTCGAAACAACGTTTCTAGTGATGGAGTGATATATCCGCGGGCTATTCAATCAAGGTTAACTCACACCAATTAACATTCATCCTGCCATATGGATCCGCATAATCCGCCTCGACGACCTATACGCATCGGCAATTGCTCCGGCGCCATCAACGACGGCATAGATCAGATATACCGCCTGGCCAAGTACGGCAATGTAGACGCCATCACGGCCGACTACCTCGCAGAGTTCAACATCGCCTGGAAGGCAATCGAGCTCCAGGCCCAACCAGAGCTGGGATACGAGCCAAACTTCCTCGAGCAACTCGCCTGGCACAACGGCGATGCAGCGCGCCTTGTCGCAGAGAAAGGCATCAAAATCGTCCACGATGGCGGAGCCCTGAACCCGCGGGGCCTCGCTGAGAAGACGCACGCGTACTTTGAGAGCCTTGGCATCCGCGACGTCAAGGTCGCCTGGGTAAGCGGCGACAACGTGACCGATACCGTCAAACGCGGCGCGTTCGGGCGAGTCATGCATCTCGACCAGCCCGGCGTCGAGTTTGATCCGCACTCGCAGGGTGACCATCTCCTCGCGGCCAATGCCTACACTGGCATGGCTGGCATCGTGCGTGCGCTAGAGCTTGGCGCTGATATCGTCGTCTGCGGGAGGTGTACAGACGCGAGTCCTGTGATGGGGATTGCGGCGTGGTGGCATGGCTGGAAACCGACGGAGTACGATGTGCTTGCTGCGAGTCTTATGGCCGGACACTTGATCGAGTGCGGGCCATATGTGACGGGAGGGAACTACTGCGGTCAGCGCGAGGTGCCAGATCTACATCACGCTGGGTTCCCGATTGCGGAGATCGGAGCCGACGGCGGTGTTGTCATCACGAAGCCGGAGGGTTCCAACGGGCTGGTGTCTGTTGACACTTGTAAGGCGCAACTCCTTTATGAGATACAAGGCGTCTACTATCTCAATCCGGATGTTGTAGCCGATATTGAGAAGGCAACCTTTACACAGCTTGGTAAAGATCGCGTTCGACTATCGGGTGTGAGGGGTTTGCCGCCACCGTCTACGACCAAGCTGTCCATCTGCTTGATGGGAGGGTACCAGGCCGAGATATCAGCGTATGCAACTGGCCTAGACACAGACTTCAAATTCGAGGTGCTCAAGAGCCAGGTTCTGGACCAAATTAACCAGTCAGACTTCACGACGTTCAGCATCGAGAAGTACGGTTCATCAGTCGCAGATCCACGGTCACAAAAGCTATGTACGACGCAGTTCCGCATGTTTGCACAGTCTCGAACTAAGGCAGCGTTTGAGCAGTTCAAGAAAGCAATCTTCTACAATGGCCTACAAGGCTATTGCGGTCTTCATCTAGGTATGGACTGGAGGACTATGGAACCGAGGCCGTACGTCAGGTACTTCCCAGCACTGATACCACAGTCCCGAATTCCTCTCGTCGTGAGCTTTATTGGTGGTGAGAAACAGCATACCATCGAGGCACGCCAAAATGGCGGCACACCCCCTCGCCAGCCGGATTACGATGCCACTGTGCCGCTGTCGAAAATTCCGCTGTCTAGAACAGTGAGGAGGCCGCTGGGGGACCTCGTCTTTGCGCGTAGTGGCGACAAGGGAGGTAACGCCAACGTGGGCTTCTGGGTACGCAGCGCTTCAGCATGGCCATGGCTGCAGGCTTTCATGACAAGACGGAGGCTTATTGAGCTGCTGGGAGACGACTGGCAAGCTCGCTACGTGGTGGAAAGGTGCGAGTTCCCAGGGCTCTGGGCGGTTCATTTTGTGATCAAGGGGATCTTACAGGAGGGCGTTAGCAGCAGCAGCGTGCTCGATGGATTTGCGAAAAGCCTTGGGGAGTTTCTACGTGCCAGAGTTGTTGGCCTGCCGGTTGACTTGGTCAAGGTTGAGGATGACCGCCGGCCACGCGAATTCGAAAGCCGTGCCAGATCATCAAGGTTGTAGAATCTCAAAAAGCCTCGTGTATACTTGGATTAAAGCCTCAATAAAAGGAGATCGACAACACCTTTCATCTGCTTGGGTTGTTTGCGAAAGGCTCTCACGTAGCGTGAACTTGTGATCCTCGACTGGCCGAGGACAGGCATTGCGGAGTACCTCGGCCAAGGTTCAAGCGCCAGAGAGCGCCCTTTCGGTAATGCGACAGCGTGGTTAGTCGTCTTACTTAGCGGTCTGTGTCCCCTGACATCTCACTGAGCTACTGCGGTAAAGTCTGTCATCGTCAACCTCTCTATTAGCAACTTCATTGATCTCTATCATTCCAAGTGCGCAGTTCAGCTCGCTATAAAGAAGTCCAAACGCGATGGCCTCGAACGATAGACCAGTAAAGAACGCATCTGGCCGCTACGACAATGTCGATTTCCGAAAAGCGGCCGGGTACGAACATGCCCCCATCAAGTGCGCCTACAACCGCCGTGATGTTCTACTCTTTGTAAGAATCATGCCTGCGTCTCCTTGTTATACCCAAGCTATGTTCTAAGAGTGCCCGTCATTATGCTGGATGAATGAAAGCGCCAGCTAAACCACATCCTAGTCCAATGCCATCGGCTGTCAGAAGGAAGAGTTACATTTCCTCTACGAGTTGCACCCCAACTTTGCCGCCTTCCCCACGTTTCCAATCAACCTCGCCTTCAAGCAGACAGACCAAGATGTCTTTGACTTTATTGCCCGCACAGTGACGGGTCACGTCCCGGGCTGTCCGCCATTCGACGCCCAGCGTTCCGTGGATGGGGAGCGAGGCATTGAAATCCTCCGCCCAATCCCCGTATCTTCAGATGGCCTTGATTTAGAGGTTCGAAGCAAAGTCATTGGAGTCTATGATAAAGGTGCGCGAACATTTTCCATGAAACCTCGAAAAACGATACTTACTTACCTATAGGCGGCGCAATGATTCTCGAAGCAGAACAGCTGCTGGTGGACAAGAAGACCAATACGGCTTATACCAAAATGACATCCACCGCATTCGGCATAGGACAGGGCGGCTACAGCGGCCCCCGGGGCCCAACAAAGCCGGTCGTGAAAGCACCAGAGCGCGCCCCGGACGCGGTGCACATCATCACGACCACCCCGGAGGCGGCCCTTCTGTACCGCCTCTGCGGCGACTATAACCCACTTCACGCAGACGAGGCATTTGGGCAGCGCGCCGGGTTCCAAGGGTCTATCCTCCAAGGCCTAGGCACCTGGAACATGGCTGCTCACGGCCTGCTACAGAAGCTGGGCGGCAGCGACCCAAGTCGTTTTAAAGCGTACGGGGCTAGGTTCAAGAGCGTCGTTTATCCCGGAGATACCCTTGAGACGCGCATGTGGGTTGTCAAGAGCGGAGGCGGGGTAGACGATGTTGTCTTCGAGACGACTGTGAAGGATGATGGACGAGTCGCTCTGTAAGTCTGCTCCTCGTGGCATTCTCAGTGCCAAACCATCTGGTGGTGAGACGGGATGCTGACGATCACAAAGGTCCAATGGCTACGCCAAGATTTTGCAAGCGAAACCAAAGATGTAATCACTATGCTGCGGACGCGGAAGCCTTTCAGGGATGCAGCTGGCGGCACTCAGAGGGGATTTCTGTTAAGAGGCAGAGTTTGCGTCGTGTATCAAAATCGTCCAAACTCGGACTCAGTCGCGAATATAGGTCTATCTGTGCTGCTGCAATACCGGTCGTCTTATGACTTTTCGAGTCAGAAGAAGTAGAAAGAGTTGTTCTTCCTGAGTCGGCAGAGTTCAAAAGTGAAGGAAACGATGACACTGGCCAACAGGTCGAGGTTAGGCTTGCCCGTGCAGACTGCGAGCTGTTGGCGCGAAGTATCCCATCGGCAAACCGGGCAATGCCAGCTATTGTCAAGGAGCGAAAGTTTCTATTGGAGAGACATCGAAAATGACCTCGGAGGGGCACACTTCCATGCAGATATCTCGAGATAACACCAAAAATGAAGTTGATATACTGTATAACAGTGCAAAATGCAAAAGATGCGTCGAGGGGGAATCGAACCCCCGGCTCCCCGACGCTGCTAGATGGCAACGGAGAATTTTACCACTAAACCATCGACGCGGTTCGTTGGATGAAGTTATCGTGAGGTCTCTAGTGCCTTGTAGGGAGCCCGTGAAGCCGAGCAAATTTTTGTCGAAATCTTCCCAGCTACAGATGTGAAGGAAACCACTTGGGGTCCCTCTTCTCACGATATGCCGCCAGTCCTTCAGTCGCGTTCTTGCTTCTAAGCATCGCCTCCGCCCATAATTCCTGTCCGCGCATAGTCGCTCTGCTAACGCCAGTCTCCCATGCTTCTCGCGCCGCCAAACGCGAGATAATGACGCTGTCTGGACTTAGTGCAGCGATCTGACTAGCATAGTCGAGTGCTCTCTCAAGAAGCTTCTCTTGTGGCACAATCTCCTTGACCAATCCCCAGCTGTGTGCCTCTTCCACTGACAGTGTGCGGCCGGTGAGTATGAGGTCCATCGTCCGGTGGTTGCCAAAGAGCATCATGCAACGAGGCAATGCGCCGGCGAGGGCAGAAACGCCGCGGAGGACTTCGGGGAGACGAAATGTTGCGTTTGGTGAAGCAAAGATGACATCGGCGTTGAGAATGGCTTCGAAGCCGCCGCCTGGATGCCACATTAGCTCTGTCTTGGTACAAGCATCCGCGGCGATCTCTTCAGGTCCCAATATTGAGCACATACCGTGAGCGTGGCCGTTGCATGCGACAATGATTGGTTTCCTGCCTGTCCTATTGCTCATGCCCGCAAACTGACCCGGTGGGTAGTCAAAGGCGACATCGTTTGTCTTGATGATATCCAATCTCTGCTTCAGGTCCATGCCGGCGCAGAAGGCCTTGGTTCCGGCTCCCGTAAACACGGCGCATCGCAGCTCCGGTTCGGCATCATACCATTTCCATAATGCACCGAGTTCTATTGTCGCCTCCACGGGGAGACAATTCATGTGCTCCGGTCGGTTGATCGTAACGAGAAGGATGTGTTTTCGAGGGAAGGATATTAGACTGTGCTCAACATGCGGGTAAGGATTCTCAATCCACGGAGGAACTGGTTTCTTCGTCCTTGGCGTTGCCATCTTCGTGATCGAGTGGCTCGCTCGGCTGCAAGTCTTACTTTGGGTTACTTGGTGCCGATGCGGTGGAACGCTGCGCAACCTCTAAATGGTCTCGCAGCCTCCTCTTGCTGTACCGTTGAGGCTTCGATAGCTCTAGTGAACCAATGGTTAGAGTCACCTCTGCATCATCGTTCTCGCCAAGTTGATCAATAGACATTCACAATATGTCGTAGACATGCCTAGTCACGTAGTGACACCCAACTTCCCGGCCAATCCAGTGCACAGTGACCTGCCACGCGTGCCCAGTGCTCACAGACGAGAACGAGCACACCCACGCAACCCCTCCCCTAACGATCCGTTGACGGATGCTCCCTAGCGAGTCTCACAGGCAAGCCGCCTCGGCAAGCCAGGCGGGAACATCCCTGGGGCTCATCACTGCGGGGTGTCCTACGTTTTCGCTGTCACTCTTTCGCCCGCTGCAAAGACGCCAGAAACGTGTATCCTGCTGAGCACGATTGATGAGCGAGTCAAAGCCCCTGCGAAACCTGGCGCAATGGCCGTCGAGGAAGGCCAAAGCATCGGGGATGTATGCCATGCAGACTGAAGCCTTCATACCCTCCACCGATGGACGCGCCGCGGAAGACAGCCCGAGTGGGGGGTTAAGTAAATTTTAGATCTAAGATGTTTCCTTCGAGAACGGGATACCAGGATTCTCCTGTGTTCTAAGGCTTTATTTGAGCCCGTGAAGCTCAACAGTGGACGGAAGTGTACACACAAACTCCGACACAAGCAGTTGATGTCGTAATAGTATCACGAAGTGAGCAACGTGATCGCAGCTCATCACACGATCATCAAGAATTCCTCAATTGGTTCCGAACAAACTGGACCACACTATCAAAGAACACTCAGCATGATGGGGTTCAAGACAGAAACTCCACCGCCGGCGACACCAGCTTTTCTCAGGCTCTCATATCCAGCTCCCCGCGTCTTGCTTGTACGTATGGACAGGCCAAAAGACCTCAACGCCATGTCTACAGCAGCCCAATGGGAGATGGATTCGGTCTGGAAATGGTATGATCAAGAACCAAACCTCAGCGTCGCAATCATCACGGGCACGGGAAGGGCCTTCTCGGCGGGAGCAGATCTCAAGGAGTGGAACAACAGCATGGCAGACGACGCCGATCCAAGCCAGCGCATGGGCAACGCGCCTGCTTTCAAGCCCTTGAGCAGGAGATTGGGCAAGAAACCAGTCATCGCCGCAGTCAATGGTCTCGCCATGGGCGGTGGGTGCGAGTTTGTAGTCAACTGCGACCTCGTCGTCGCCGCCGAGGATGCGTACTTTGGGCTTCCCGAGGTCAAGAGAGGCATCGCGGCCATTGGCGGGGCTTTGCCGCGACTCATACGGACTATCGGACTTCAGAGAGCAAGCGAATTCGCGCTGACGGGGCGTAACGTCCCAGCGCAGGAGATGCAGCAATGGGGCATCGTTAACATGGTGGTGCCCAAGGAGAAGGTCGTCGAGGAGGCGGTGCGTTATGCCAAGATGATTGCAGCCAACTCCCCGGATGCCATCATATGCACTCGAGCTGGGCTGAGGCAGGGCTGGGAGACGGCATCCGTGGAGCGGGCAGTCGAGTGGACGCTAGAGAAGGAATTTGCAGAGCTGCAAAAGGGCGAGAACATCATCGAGGGCCTCAAAGCATTCTCTGAGAAGCGAGAACCCCGTTGGAAAGGTAGCAAGCTATAGAGAGAACGGGGTCTGATATCAAACATGCCGTTCCAAAGGGAGAGGCAGAAGATCCCGTCTGATGAGAAACCCGGACGAACTAGATCTGTGTGGCCCTACTTCACCAAAGCTTTTGCTCGACCACCGTCTAGACTAATCAAGTCCGTCGTCCGAAACCAATTGAGATCGACCAGCCAGGTTTGTCCTTCTCTGAAAATAGTCGACATATAGACAAGTCTGCTAGGACCTGGATTGGGTGCTCTGGCAGCTGTACGTTTTTGTCAGCGTTGCAGATAGACCAGGTGACGAGAAGTGAGGGCAGCCATCACCAATATTGCCCTTCACATCAGATTGGTGTACCTTCGGTCCGGCCCCCCAAACGGGTTTCAACTATCAGTGCAGTGCCTTTCACCTACTCGACATACCAACCCGATTCAACAATTTGAGTCAGCAGCGGGCTAATGATTCGAACCACCGTCGCAGCCAGATGCGGAAATCCCAAAGTTGTTGTGCTCAGGTCGTGGGGTGGTCTTCCCCGCAGGCCGGCGCAGGGAGAGGCCCCGGCCGCACTACCAGACTCCGTGAAAGAGTTTCGAAGAGGTTCGAGTCTTCCGGGGGACACCTTGGTGTGCGTATGCCGTGGGACGGTGAAGCCGCGTTGCGTGTGAAGAAGGAGGGGCGGGCGGGCAAAGAGACAGATGGACACATGCAGGTAGACAGACGGCCAGCAAGCAGGTCAGACCAAGGCTTGCATTGCATGTCTTGGAGTCCATCTCACTGCTGACTTTGACCCGTCACGCAACCCTTTTTTCGACACTACGCCGCACATATACAGTCCTCCGTCGACGTTTATAGATGGCAGGTTGGTCGAGAAAGGTTGTATAAGACTCAAGCACGGCCTCGAGCGCGCAAGATCCCGCTCGTCGAAACCCGTGTGACGCCTTTGTATTCGAAATACCGACATACTGCGAGCTGGTTCCCGCACATCGATATACCGACCATCCATCATGGATATCTCCAAGAACGAGTCCTATCGCGAGTTTGATGGGGCTTCGCTGGAGAAGTACCGTGAATTCGACCGCGATACCGATCGAGACGATGCTTCTTCGATTCGTTCCGAGGCGCTCGGCGATGACCTCCCTCCCGGCTACTACTACTCTCCCCAGTTCCTCGGGGCCATGGCGGTTTGTCGAGACCTTTGCCAAGACCTGGATGTTCACTGATATCATCTCAGGGCTTTTGTCTTTCAGCAATGTCGGCATACATCTTCTTGATCCTGCCAACCAACGTACTGACATTCATCAACGCTGATATTGGTGAGTATATCCAGGCATAGTATGATAGGTGCCATTTGCTCACCCCAAACAGGTCCGAGCCCATATATCTCTTGGGTCAACATCGCCAGAACTCTCTCGCTGTCATTCACCTACACGATCCTGGGCCGCTTGTCAGACCTTTTCGGAAGACGATGGTTCTTCATCGGTGGCAACGTCGTCGCCATTGTCGGAATCCTCGTGTGTGCTGTGGCGCATAATGTCGAGACACTCATCGTTGGTGCCGCCATCTATGGCCTGGGCGAGACGGTTCAGCTGAGCTTCAATGTCGCTGTTGGCGAACTGGTTCCCAACAAGTACCGCCCTGTCGTCTTGTCTCTCATCTTCTTGACCAATGCCCCTATCTCCGCATTTGGTCCTTTCGTTGGTAAGTCGATGACGAGAGGCCTATATAAGGATAGTTGCTCATTGAATCTCAGCCCGAAAGTTCGTCGAGAACCCCAACCTCAGCTGGAGATGGTGTTTCTACGTCAACATCATCGCCGTGGGACTCGCCATCGTTCTCTTGTACCTGTTTTACCACCCACCCACCTTTGAACTTCTCCACGACCGCAAGACCAAGCGCGAGCTGCTCAAGGAACTGGACTGTAAGCCGACTCTCTTGCTTCGCCTCTCATACCCTTCACTACTAACATGATGCTCAGACCTTGGCATCTTCCTGTGGACTGCTGGCCTGACTCTTCTCCTCATGGGTGTATCTTGGGGAGGTGTCATGTTCCCTTGGGACTCCGCAGCTACCATTTCGAGCTTGGTTCTTGGTGTTGTTCTGCTGGTGGCACTCTTCTGCTGGGAAGCCTTTGCAGATCTGAAGTATCCTGCCATACCTATCAAGTTCTTTGCCAACCGTGGTTTCATGGCACTTGTCTGCTGCGCAACGGTTGCGACAGTTAGTCTCCCCTCTCCAACAATTTGCTGTTTTGCTAACAGGTTTGCAGATGTTTTACTACTCCGCTGTTTTGTTATGGCCGCAGCAGGTTCAGGCCTTGTACACAACTGATATCACATACGGCGGTTGGCTCTCGGTAAGCAGACCTCGGGCCAACGTCTATCGCACCCAGCTAACAGTCATCAGTCTACTGTGGCAAGTGCAACAGCACTTGGTCAAGTTTGCGCAGGAGGCATCGTGAAATGGGGAGGCAACGTCCGCTACTGGATTATCTTCGCGACCTTCTGCATGGTCGGCTTTGTCGGGGCGCTCGCATCCCTGACCCCTGAGACGCTGAACACAGGAATCGCCCTCACCATCCTCGGCCCCTTTTTCGTGGGCTTCATCGAGCTGGCATCTCTCGCTCTAGCGCCCTTATTCTGCAAACCCTCAGATATCGGCCTTGCCTCGGGTCTCCTCGCGTCCATTCGATCGGCTGGAGGTTCCATCGCCGTCGCCGTCTATACGACAATCCTATCGAACCGTCTGGCAACAGAGATCCCGGCAGCCATCCGCGGACCAGCTGTTGCTGCGGGCTTGCCTTCGAGCCAGCTCCCGGCTCTTGCCAAGGCAGTACAAGCAGGAAAGCTGGCCGCCTTCCCTGGCTTGACGAGTGCCGTGAAGGCTGCTGTGGCAAAGGTACTGCCGAATGCGTACTCAAAGGCGTTCGAGACGGTCTATCTGGCTAGTCTGGGCTTCGGAGCCATTGCCATTGTTGGGTGCTTGTTCTCGAAGGATGCACAGAAGCATCTGACGAACAAGGTGGAGAGACGTATGGGTGATGGAAAGAGAACTTGAGGGAGAATCAAGTCACTTCATGAAGGGGCGAAGTGGTGGGGGGACTTATAGGTGTAAAAGTAGTCACACTTAGAGCCAGGTTGTAGAAACGTTCATCGCACGATTTGGCCTGAAGCGCTGATCACTTTGTTGCTTCAATTTCCTTCGCTCCAGTTGGCTATATTTCACGTGGCCCCCAGACCGTGACTACTACCTGAGGCCACATTAAGCGAAAATCTTCTGAATTTGTTTGCACCACAACACTGAAGAACTTCCTCTTCATCTACAGTAATGATACTTCCTGGCCTCTACGTGATGCTGCTTCGTCAAGGTCGAATTCCATCGTACCATCCTTCCAAGCTTCATCAAGCAGCTCCCATGTAGACCTTGCTAATTGGAAGAGATACCTCTTCTTAGCAGCCGAGAGTACACCATCCACAGTTTGTTTCCACTCAGGATGCCTCTTGAGGAGTCGGGTTTCGAGACATGCCGTTATTAGAGGGAACACGATGCCATTGCGGCACAACAAATGCTGATTCTCGGGCAGCTGACATGCCACACCAAAGAGATGAAGTCCTGATACGAGACGGTATAAGACAATTTCTGAACTCGGCGACGCGTCTTGCTGATCGTCACCGACGTATTGGCCATCTTTTCGTGTAGCGTTCATTATACGTAGCTCGCGTCTGCGGATGTGAAGCACGCCGGCAAACCGCCAGCAATCCCATAATAAGCATTGAACGTACTCGCCCATTTCACCTGGCCATCCCCAGAACCGGCTGATGGAGACCTCGGCCGTCTCGAATGGTGTATCGGCGAAGATATCGAGGAGCGAATGCGGCACACCAGTGACGACTTCCAAAGCCCTGACTCTTCCCCCTTTCCATGAGTCTTGAGTTTGTCGGAACCGTCTCCAGATACCGAGAGAGGGACACCTCCTTCCCAGTACGAGACAGGGCATGTCCATGAGACCGATAAACTCCAAGGCATGCCGTACTGAGAGGTCATGCTCGGGATTGGGTTTGAGATATGCCATGGGAGCATTCAGATGGAAGGTCTCGGCGAGTAGCCCAATGACGGGGGTACACGGTTGGGCTTGTAGGAACTATGTAACCCAATTTCTTAGCTGGAAGACCTAGGTGATGTCGGAATATCTGCGTTCGAAAAAGGAGACGGGTAGTGAGGCATCCCAAAGTCTGCCGAACTTAGCTGACTGTCATCGGTGTGACTTACTTGGAGAACACAAAGCAGTACGCCAGAGCAGGCCGTAGCAGCTGGCATAACATCGTAATGGACCACAATTTCGCGCCGAAACTCCTTCAAAGCAGTGTCGATGTACTCCATGGAGGAAACAGACAATTCCGAACTGCCTTCATCGAGATAGGCTTGAATAGCAGATGATAGTAGTACAAGAGATTTGCTCTTGGCAGACATCTCAACGAAGAACGGCTGGACCCATGAGCACACCGATGTACTGTAGAGACCCATGAGGCCTGTGCGGAGAACTGTAAGCATCACTCCATGTTAGCGAACTCGACATATCTCATCGAGTCGGCACTGGCACGCGCCCAGTCGCAACATACACTTATGGAAAAGCTCATCCGTAACATGCGTCGTCTGTACTTGTGGATTGGGGCGATTCGGGAGTGCAATCTGGCCTGCAAGGGCATTGGATTCGGCTGGAATACCAGCAGCACTGGTGCTACCTTCGCCGGCAGAGGTATGATTGGCAGCACCATCTACCCAGCGCAGGGGCGTTGAGTATCCGGGGCACTGAATTCCTCGTTGGGTGCAGGCTTCGCAGAATGGACGGCGGCGGTCACACTTTCGTTTTCGTCGCCGGCAACTCATACAACCGCCGCGAGCGCGTTGCATCTTGTTCTTCCGAGTCCCTAGAATCGAAGCTCAAGATGGGCTTCATAGCCGTTGGCAAATGGATGTTTTGTCCAAAATACACACACGAACACGGAAAAGTAGAGTGGACAAAGATGCCGGCATGGGAGCTTAGCCTCTGTGGCGGCGATTCAGGGGACATTGGGACTGGCCAAACGGAGCACAGACTACGGATCTACCAGCATGATTCAGGGCTAAGAACATCAAAGTTTAACCGCACTGATTAGCGAGTATAGGTGACTACTCGAGCGTAGCACTGCCGGACCCCACGCGCGGTAACCGGTGCATAGTAGAATTCCGGATATCTCAGCAACTGTGACTGGTTGGCGTTGACGGCATCGGCGGATCACAAGTTCCTTTTCGGCAGCTTGCGCTCATAGTTGCCGGGGTATTTCATTATTCTTCGCAGTTGCTGTACTATTGTCTTTCTACCTTGAGAGTAGAGAGGCGGTTAGCAAAGTTTATGTGTTTCTTAGGTCTTGCTCTCAATGTCGAGTACGAGTATTGAGAATCTTGTCAATGATGCCAACGGCCTCCAGACATTCTTCATCGCGGAACCTCGGCGCAATAATCTGCACTGCACAGGGTGCACCATCAGTAGCTTCGGGGATATCTTGAAGGTTCAAAAGTTAGGAACATCAGCGCAAGCTTCTTGTTCGGAAGATCGGGGATTGATCTTACAATCAGGTACAAAATCCGCGATGGCCTTCTGTGGCTCAGAGTCTCGCGTCGCGGACGCAGTGCCAAAGGGAATGACTGCTGCAGGGAACTGTTTGGCGTTGCATTAGCGGACCATTAGATTACTTCCGAGCATTTCTAAGCAGCGGACTCGGGGGTAATTAGACACTCACGTCAATCAAACTCCACATGACTGTATACACGGGGAGGCCAAAGGTGTCGTGTGGGACGGCAGTGCAGGATGCTCCAGGAGCTAATACAATGTCGAGATCGTGCTCTTGCCAGATTTGGCTCCATGACTGGGCGTAAGCTGCGCGAGCCCTGTTCAGTCCCGAAAACTGGCTTGGAATGTCCAGCTTTGGGTCCACAGGGAAGTCTCCAGTAGAGAAGGGATGCATTCCTTTGGCAACAGAGGCAACAAAAGGCTCTCCAAAGTCAGTAACAGCTGGTGCTGAGATGCTGAAGTATTGGTACGAGATTCTTGCACCGAGAGCCGCGCTACGCTTCGCATCCGTTGCAAGATGGACGACTTTGTGACCAGCTTCCTCAAGAGCGGACGCTGCTTCAGCTAGGCTCCTGCGTATAGGAGGATGTAGAGTATATTCGGGATCTTCAGGCAAGATCCCGATCGTAAGTGGTTTCGATCGAGGCTCGACTAGGGTTCTCCAGGAGAGATCGATCGCACTACCATCGTACTTCCACGGGTTAAGCTTGGTAACGACCTCCATGAGGAGCGACAAGTCGTCGGCGGAGTTGGCCAATGGACCTAGAGCGGGCATCACAGCGGACATCCAATTCATGGGCCACGGAGACAGAGACTGCCCCGCGAACGGTATACGATCCACGGTTGGCTTGAAGCCGTACACGCCGCAGCAGAAAGCTGGGATGCGTACAGAACCGGCCAGATCGCTACCGATGCCCAGGGGTGATCCGCGGAACGCTACAAGCGCTCCCTCGCCTCCACTAGAGCCGCCAGCTGTCAACTTTGTACTGTGCGGGTTGAGGGTTCGGCCGAAGATGTTGTTCTCGGAATCGCAGGTCTCCGGAGACTACGTCAGCGAATGTTGTCTAGAGAAAGTTCGATCTGTGTAGTGGTACCATCATCGTTTGGGGAACATTGGTCTTGCAACTAGAATAGTCAATGTCGTTAGGTCCGCCCGTTGAAGCGATGGGTTTTCCAAATTTACTTACTAGAGAACCGCTCCTGCATCAAGAAGCAGCTTGACAAGGGCAGCGTTGCCTTTGGGACGGTCTTGCTTGAGAAACGCGACATATCCAACAGACGCGAAGTGCCCATCTACGTGAAGGCTGTCCTGAATGGTGTCAACTTTCATTGGCCACCAGACCCAGAGCTCAAGGCTATGTCTTGTTGTCCTACCTTCAAGCTGATTGGCAAGCCATGGAGCGGACCAATGACCTTGCCTGTCTCTCGCAACTGCTTGTCGAGCCACCGGGCCCTTTCTACTCCGTCTTCGAAGAATATCTCGGTGAGGCAGGAAGTCTAAACCAAACAAGTGTAAATCAGTCAGCTGTTTCTCTGATTTAGACAGTTGATAGAAAGCAGTGTGAAGCGTCTAAGGACTCACCAACTGCTGAGCAACGGCTGCTCGCTTGCAATACGCCGTTGCCACTCTCTCTGCGCTGAGTGCTCCTAGGCGAATGTTCTTCACGAGCTCACGGGCAGTGTAGTTCTCGGTGATGTCGATTTCGTTGCTGTCTAAAATGCCTGAATTCTTGGCTGCTTGGAGATCGATGAGGTGGCCCTCCTGTGCGGTGCCGGCGCCGCGAAGCTGTTCTAACTTCTCATTATCCAAGAGCCAATCCAACGGTATCTTCTTCTTTTGCTCCTCGCAGTGCTTGCGAGCGATTTGTTGCCAATCCGCCATATTCAGTTGCCAAAGAGAGGTTGTCGAGGATCAAGAGGAAAGACGTTGATGATGTATAACAAAGCTGGACTAGAGTCTAAATGATACGCGACGCCTCCTCGCCGTGATTACGAGGAACGTGGCCAAGGTGATATATACATGTAGGAATGAAGATCTAAGGAGTATGTTCTATGGAAGTTCTTCTCTCTTCGCTGTTTCTCTTCCTTCGTATCCCTCCACTGCGCGTCATCTGATAGCGCTGGCGGCGCAGTTCATGGCCCAATTGGGATAGCATTGCCGCTTGGCCATTGGTCCACCACCAATCCATTTCGAAGGCTGTACCAAGATCTCAGCACTCTCGGAATTCAGAAAATCATCGGTCTCACAAGAGCCAAATTTCGGCATTTGCGAAGGCGAGGGAAGGCCTCTAATTCGCCGATTAAATATTCAATCTGGTGATCCCTCGACGAGTTCCGCGATATGTTCCGAACGTGGGACGTGTCCGTCGGAGTCCGTGTTACTTGGAGTGCTCACCAAAAACCATTCAGCGGAAAGGCAAGCACGGGCAGGAACAAAGAAGACTTGCTTCTATCAATGCGCCAGACTTTCAGCTCGAATAGTCGAAGCAAAGTTGAATGGCGTGTGATGCCTTCATTCATTAGTAATAGGGCATGTCACCTATTACAACCAGACACCAGGTCCAAAGTCTTGTCACATCCATCATAACTGGCTTCAGACCCCTCAGTTTGAGATGGCACGGGAAATAGAGGTTTCGTGTGGCTATCGCACCAGGCTTGTCACACAGGGCATCACGTGTCTCGTGGCAGCATTTCGAGGGATGTTGGAGGATAATCGACTTGGAAAGACTCTAACAACTGACTTCGAGAAGTATGGCCTATTAGCGGTTGAGTTTTCTCATAACTCTGGTTAGGCGGGTTTACTCCGTGAACCCACCGGAGACGGGCGGGGCCGCACTATGCCGGTATACCATTGACCGCGATTATCTAAGCAGCATACACAAGGTTCGTAATTATAGAGAGGAAATAATGAGTTCTTCATAATGGTGATGCACAATTTCACAACTGGTCTATGCATGGATTCAATACCCACATTGGGTAAGTGTAGCCGCCCTCCTCAGGTGACAAATTAGATTGATTGAAACTTGTACGGAGTACTCCGTACAATAAGGTACTACCGGTATGCTAACCTGGCACATGCCTAGTTGCATCACAGCAACAAAGCAGTGCAGATATTGACCACCCTGCGGTTTCCTGAGTACTCAACGACGCTCTTGGAGTCTGGAGACTACTTACTCACAGCAAACCTCGGGCTGCCTGACTTTCAAATATCTTTCAGATCTTGTGCGACAAGTCCATCAGGTAGTGGCTCCAGGTCCCACTACGATGCTGTAAATGGAATCAACATGAGCCAAAGTTTGACCGCCCACATAGTTTCACTCTCCCTACTTACTTTGGCCGGGTCATCGCACAAAAATGTTGTAAAATCGCGGATGAAATGCAAAACTTTGAATAAAGCACTCTCGACTTGTTAAGCTCTTGAGTTGCGCACGTTACAATCACTTGATACTTAAGACACTGCGGTTCTGGCAAATTCTGGAGCTAGTAGAGTTGGATGAAGGTTCTAACTTGGAGCAGCCCAATAACAAACTGTAGTGGTTCGTCGCCAGATGCCACTTTGTAGACTTGCCTCAAAGACCTCCTCACATGTACTCTTGCGATATTCTCTCTACGAGTCTCTCACTCCATCGCGCTTGACTCTTGATTAATGATAATTCGCAGAGTGCTGTCGAAATTTCGGCAAGGCATAGTTTCAGAGGTTTATAACTTCGTGTATCTTCTAGCGACAAACCAACGTCTGTAAATGGCTTTGACTTTCGCCATTGAGACACGTTTGGTACTGATCTAATGAAGTTGAATGCCGCTTTCATATTGTCAGACGCTAATAAATAAGTAAAGACTGGAAGACCTGAGTTTCCTTCATTGTTTAAAGTTCACATTTGTGTGACGAGTCATAGGTCTAAATAAGCAGCATTGCGTAACACTCCCCAACAGAAGCTACACAATCATTCACCCATTTCCAGATTCCAATGCTCAAACGATATATTGAGAGATCAATTGCACGTCGCTTTTCTTGTTTCAATTATTCAGCTACCCCATACGTTGCATAATGGCGAGAGGTGAAGTCGTTGGCAGCACATACGTCGTCAATGTAACCCAACTTCAATGAAAGATAAACTATCTACGATCAAGGGATGTTTCCCAAAACTCTCGGTCCAGAAGATCAAATGCACGCTCAATCTTGTAAAAAATACATGAGGGAGTTGTTCCGCATCGAAGGATCTGCTTACCGGATAACTATACTGATTCGGGCGTTACGAAGCTGCTGCCTAGAGTTAGCCAAGGACCAGGCGTTCAACTACATTAGCACTCCGCGCATTGTGGAACCCAACCTTTCTCTTATACCTGGAAATGGCAGGTCTTCGGGGACCTTCTTCGAGATATCGGCGACCTCAGCGTCTTTTGTGATTCGCATTCAAGCGGTGAGGCTGACAGCTTCAAGCTGCACTGCTGCTGCTACATGCTGACGGGCTTGCATCAAGTCAGACTCTGTAAACGATGGCGCAATTGAGCGTCTCGTACCTATATCCTGGTAGTTCTCATAACGCACAAGGCACATCACATATTTCTATTTGGTGGCGAATTGTTGAACGAGGATCAAGGCTTCATTGGCGAACGGACGGCAAGTGATGCGATGCTGCCTAGAGAGGAGAAGACGGACGTCATGATGTATTGAGTAACCTCGGCCGTTCCAATCATGATATGATTCAACTTCAGATACTTATTCATGAGTGGGATTATAAAAGTGTAGCTGGTGCCCCGGTGTTGGGCTTGTGCTTAACCAAGATCAGTGCAGGCAAATCTAACTCTCTTAGCGGTTCACGAACAGTCTCCAAAATTGATATTTAAAAGAGTAAGTAATTGGTTAATACAGAGAAACAACGTCGCTCATCTTTTCAATGCCCAAGATTAACAGGAAACAGCGAAAATGCGCTTCTCCATTGTCTCCATCGTCGCCATCGTCGTAGCATTCGCTGAAGCTCAGCAATGCACCCCCGGCCGCTACCAATGCAGGTAAGCCTCATAGTCTCTTCAACTCAGATTCCGGGTGCCCAGAATATACACGAGCTAATCACTTAAAATAGATCAAACGTATTTCCCGCGGTCTGTGACGCCTCTGGCAACTGGGTTGTTCTCCAGCGTTGCCCAGACAACTGGCGCTGCATCGAGAACAACGGCAGTGTGACCTGCTCGCCGTAGCTCACTATGTCATGGAGTCTAGAGATCGAGCTTTTGCCTATACGCATTTCGAAATCGAAGGCTTTCTTAAAGGACAATGGCTCACAACGAGCCATTATGGCATGAGAGACTGCATTAAGCTGTCAAGGTTGGCATCGCTTCTCGAAAATTACATATACAAAATCAAGCTTCACTTCCAGATTTCATCGCTGTTGCCAGAATTCATGAGATAATTCATCGTAACCAAAAATGAACGCAATCATAATCGAGAGTCATAATGGTCCAGGAAATCGGTGCCATGTTCACTGAAATAAGCTGGCGCCAGTCTTGCTCAGTTACAGAGTGATTTAATGATTCGGTCAAATGAAGTGGTCAGATCCTAGAACCTTTCAACGCAGGATGCCATGGGAACACAACTGATCGACGGGAATGGCCTCGGAAGAAACAAAGCCCATTCATCCAACGCTGAATGAGTAACTTAGGCCCTGGCTCGTCATGAAAGCCTACCAATTCCAAGCCGCATCCAGCGACCGCAATTGACACGTGTTTGTCAATGTCGTTCGGGTACAGTGTTTCCGAAGACTCCTTCATCGGCTTGGAAGAAGTGAACACGTACCTGACTGAGTCGGGTCAACATTGGATCCCATCAGAGTTGCACTTTTCTTACCTGTATCGTCGTCTTCACCCTCCGAATCACCTTCCAACTCTTCCGCAAAGTCGCCCTCGCTTACAGAATCGGAATCAATATGATGATAACTGGTGTGGGAGCTTGCATCTGAATCATCGCTTCGGTCATCAGACTGCATATTATCATCATCTTCGTACCCTCTTTGCTCTTCATCTCCTTCCATGTCTTCTAGTACGAAGATACCACAGTAGCTGTACGGTTGATCATCGAGTAGGCCGGCAAGTACCAGTGGCTTCTCTGCATCCATCGCCGCAACAACTATCTGGGCCATCATCCACATGTAATTCTTGGAGAAAGTTTCCTCTTCCATCGGTCGTATAATGGTGTCAATAAAGTGCGTCAGCTCATCCACTAGAGGATAGTTGCGGATATGGCCGAGGGCATCTCGCAGCTGCGTGAGACGCTCGATGGCGTGCGTTCGTGGGCTCCTCCGAGTGTGTCGTCTTCGGGACTTTGGATAAAACATCACGTACTGTTCCGGCCTTATGACACGACCCAGCTTCCACAGATGACCAGAGGTCCTCAAGCCCTCAAATGTTAGCCGAACGTCGATGAATCGGCAACCGTTGTTAAAGATAAGAGGACGCCGCAGAAGAGGTGGACAGAAACCATCGAAGGAATGGTCTGTGACGAAGTCGGAGACTGTTTGACTCCGACATCTTATCCAAGAACGGCCCTCCCCCTTTTCTTCACATGTGTTCTCCATGATTTCTCCGTTCAAGAGGTAAAGGGCTAACATAGATAGACTCATGCTGTGTGATCCTTGCCGCAAGATGGCGTCATCTAGCCTAATGGAGTATTGGCAGCAATTTGCGACTATGGCCAACCTGTCGAGGCAGAATTCGCTGCCGCGGGACTCAATATCCTTTATGATCCTCGGCGACTGTGGCCAGGGGGCCGAATACTGCCCATCGGGCATGGTCTCCCGTAATAAGAACTCGTAATTGGGAGCTGCCTTGAGAATTCGTTCGGCAACATCGGACAAACCGGAGACACTGTGATCCTTTGCAGTTATG